GACAAATTATAAATTTTACAAACTTAAAAAGTCTAAATATTACAATTACAAGGTCCAAAGCAAATAAATATTTAGACATTACAATTTAATTTGCGGCTGAAGGATTGTCTTCAAAGCGAAATGTTAATCTATTAAATTCATCTATCCATTCCTGGCTTGCCGGTGAAATTGTATCTTGTAAACGTTGATCGACACAATCTCAATTCTTAATGCAAACCAAAGCTTCAACAATGTCCATTTGCAATGTGTTTCAGTATTCTTCAAGTATTCGTCCGGTCGTACTGAAGGCTTGTTCGGATGAAACTGTGGAAACTAGGATCGAAAAAATATACATTGCCAATCGAGTTAGGACTAGTCAAGTTAATGCTCGTGCCCTCCGCCATTGAACTAAATCAAACAATTCTCCACTATCGTCAACTACTAAGCTCTCGTTGAGGTACGCCATAAAAGCAATAGGAACTTTTAAAATTGGATCCTTCCGAAATTCACTAAATAAAATATTAATTCTTAAAAGTTCACCTAAAGCTAAAGGTGATGTTGGGTAATATGTTCCGCTAAGTTTAAAGTAACTACATGAAACATACCTAAAAATTGATACAAAGTTTCGGCAATTTGCCAATCATATGTGCCTATATGTCATGCTCCTAATTTTACACTAATATAGTTTGTTATAGCATCCTTATAGGGGACGTATTGTTGAAGAATTATATAAGTTGAATTCCATCTTACAGGCATATCTAGGGCAATTACTCTAGGAGTTAAATTTAGTGTTTGTAAGAACCTAAACCAATCTTGTACGCGTGGGTTACTACCTTGAATCCATGTAATGCTATCTCTAATTGCTTTTATATGAACAGACATTGATTTTAAATTGGATTTAACTATTAAATTAATTACATGGCATGCACAACGTTGGTGAAAATATTACCATCACCGAATAAACTTAAATCATTTTCAAAATATTCAATTGCTTTAGTATTTGCACTATCATTATCTAATGTTATAGCCACCACTTTATCTCTTAATCTATATTCATCAATTACATTTAAAATTGTATTATATATTAAATCGGCGCTATGTGATCCTAGAACACATTTAAAACCTAATATTCTCTTATCTAAATCGAAGCCTTTAAAGTAATGTCCGGTTACAGATAAATAATCTTTGTTGGCAACGGCAGACCAAATGTCTGCCATTAACGCAACGCAACCGCTAGTAGAGTGTAAAAGATTTATTAATGCTTCATTTTCTTGTTTAAATAATTTTAACAAATCTTTCCTAAGAGTAGTTTTTGAAAAAAAAAACTGTACATTAAGATTGTGTACAACTTTAATATATTGGTGCCAATTAGGATGCTCTACAAAACTAAGTAGTTGATCTAATGCAACTATCATTCGCGTAACTTCCATACGATCTACTTGGGGATCATATTTCTAAGTGGTTAGACCACTGGTTACGCGATCAAAATATAATTGTGTTTGGCAGAGTTCAGCTCTGCCGATTTGGCCGTGCTTTTGAAGACACTTTTCGGAGTGTCTTCTCAAGTGTGTTGTGCCGTGAATAGTGTCACCTTGTAATTTAGAATAGCAATATTTACATTGAGCTATGTGTTTATTGTTACTGTCATTGTCGACCTCCTCAATTATGTCGAAGTGATCCTAAACTGTCGAGGTGCGCTTGCATTTCCTCTTGGAGGTTGTAACACTTGCAATAACACTTGCACTTGCCTCTCCTCCACACCCACCACCATTGCGACGACGACCTCCACTACATTTACCACGGCTTGGATTTGTAGGTTCCTCAGTTGCTTGTGTTTGCAATTCCTGCGTAATAAATTCATTAGTAAGAAATTACCCTTCTTCCATGTTCCGTTGGGCATCAACAGGAATATCACCATAACCAAAAGAATCTATTATTAAAAATAAGAGCGATATGAGAGAGAGAGCTTTAGGATATTGTGTAAGTTTTTAGAAAAATTGTGAAAGATATTTGAGAGATTGAGAGAGATTGAGAAAGTTTGGGGGATGGATGGTATTAATAAGAAAATTTTTGGGTTAAAAAATTAATTTTTTCCCCCAAATTCGGATCCAATAGCTATTTCTTAGGATCGGCGGTCGGGTTCGGGCCAGAATCAGGCAATAGTCAAAAAAAGAGCTGTTGGTGGTCGGGCTTTCGGGCGGTGGTTCGGGTCGGGTGCCAACGTTCAAAAAACTTGTCGTTGGTTGGGCTTTGGGCAAGTTGGGCTGGAATTCGGGCCTGAGAGAAAAAATTAAAAAAAATTGGTAGTCGACGGTCGGGAGCTTTCGTTCGGCGGCGGACTTCCGCAATATAGGTTTTTCTCGGGCAGCCTGAACCCCGAGTCCAAGCCCGAGAAATTACTTGAATGGGCGGCCTTAGGTGCTTGCCCATCGAGCCCGAAAAAATCAGGCTTCGAGCAAGCTTGCCGGCCCAAAGTTTCAGCACTAGCCCAAGTAGCCCAATTACACAGAAATGAAGCTATTATTCATTATAAAAAAAAATGAAGTTATTATTTAACCTTCTAAACAACAACGTATAGACACTCCTCCCCTCCAAGATGTTAGACTTTGGGATAGGAGTTCATCAAAATTTTTATCTTAAATTCCAACAAATATCTTGTTAAGAATGGGTATCTTTAGAAACTAAAATATATTGTCATTGAAATTTATACATTAAATTCCAATAAGTTATATTCTAATAGTTCTAATACATACGATAATATTATGCAACAGTATAACAAAAAAAATTAAGTAATCAGATTTGAGAATAAGTATCATTTAAAAAAAAAATTCAACTTAAATTTGATGTAGTTTATATTGTATACATAATATCTTTTTAATGCGATGATATCCTTTTAATATCATCAAAATTTTAGGTCTGACACCATACATGACGGTACCATTTTAATATTATCTAACACAACGGGACCATATTTGTATATGTATTCTTACTTTGCTCCAGTAATTTTGTAACATTTCTTAGTTATTAATTTAGGCCTTAAATATCATATTTTTATTATTTTCTTATGCCAATTCAAGTCTTTGGACATAATGCTTAATTATCATCTTTACATAATAACCTTCGTTATACATCTCTCTGCCTCTATAAATGAATATTATTAAGACTAAGATTAAATATTATTTTAAAGAGATTATTTATTTATTAATAAATAAATAATTCTTAATTTATGAAAAGTTTTATGTTTTAATTACTTTTGTTCATGTACCTTTTCTTTTACTAAGATTCATGCATGAGCTATAATTAACATAGACAATGGTATGTGGTCAAAAATTAATATGTGTACATAGAGAATTACAAAAGTTATCAGCTATGCCAAAAAAAAAAATCTTAGTGAAATTAATGCAGTGATGAAATCACCTACTAATGAAGAGATTATTTAAGGGATAATGGATATACTTGTTGATGATGATCACGATCCAAATGACAGTTATATTTTATAAAATGTTTCTCCAAAAGAGACGTTTCAAGCAATAGTAACCTTAAATAACTACTTGGTACAACATGAAAAAAAAAAATATACTAGATATGTGCATGTTTTCTAAAAAATAAAGACGAGGTTGAGTTCAATTTATGTATAAAGAAATAACAAATTACTTCAGATGCATATTTTATAAAATAGTTGAAATGAGAAAATAAAAATTGTCAAGAAAAAACTCTTTAATATTATGAATTATATATATATTTTTTGTCAATTATTAATTTATATTTTTGTTGGGCTCTAAAGGATTTGAAAAAAATATATATTATCTTGTGCATTGATCTGAGTGAGGACTGAAAGTTTTTATTATTTAAAGGAGATTATTAATCTATTGAATATTTATTTATCGAGATTTTATTGTATATAAATATGAGCCCTTTTAAAAACTACATTTAAGGGTGTCATACACTTGTTGTATTAACATTACACACAGTTTCACCACTCATTATACACTTGTTGATACCATGTTGTTCCATTAACGACTGATAGATTTTTAAAAGGTCTTAATTCATTTCTTTAATATTGATTTTAATAACATTTCTCAGGCTGATAACAACTCTCCCAACTAATATAAATATCACATGACACCATCATAATTTGGTTCTCAAACATTAACAAGTGGCATCGTATTGCCTTTTTTCTACATTAGCTTCTACATGGGTGTTGTTGTTGCTGCTCCAGTCCGGTACCGGACTGGAGACAATGACATCTATTTCCTTTCAAAATAGTAAAGTTTTATAATAAACTAAAAAAGAAGATGCTATATGTGTATGAACACGCACAAAAAATAAACATATAAATAAGAAGAAGGATGAAAAGGAATCATAGATAGGTGCTAAAGATTGAATAGGAATATTATATATGACATCTCTTTCCTTTCAAAATAGTAGTGCGACTGCGTGTGGCAGAGAGAGAGACAGACATGAATGACAAAGGTAAGTAAGCCCAGGCCAGAGAGTGTGAAATGTCATATATATATATATATATATATATATATTATATATTATATATATGCGGCCGTGCTCAACAAGTTAAAGCAACCCCACCACCATCACCACTTCCCTTCTCATCCTCATTCTTTTTTTTTTTCCTTTTCCATTTTATTACATTATTTACTACCACTATATATACACACATATATTCTTTGTCGTTTCTTTAACTTTTATATCTTACATGGGTTTAGCAATCATGTTCCATAATGACACACTTCTTTTTTTTTAGATATAAAAAAGGAAAATGACACTCTTCTGCATGGATAAAACAAGAGTATCTCTCATATGAAAAAAAAAAAAAAAAAAGCAAAAAAAAAAAAAAAAAAAAAAAAAAAAAAAAAAATTGCTCTGTGTGTGTGTGTGTGTGTGTGTGTGTGTGTGTGTGTGTGTATATAGATGTATATATATATATATGTATGTATATGGAAGTATGTACCTAGGTAATTGAATTTGAGGGTTTGAAGTTTTACCTTTGATGACTTTACCTGGTCTTTAATATTTTGTCGGCAACAATACATGAGCATTGTCATTATACGTATAGAATCACAATTCCATAAAGTATATTGCGTTAGAGTAGAGCTTAAAAAAAAGGTAATAATCATACAACGTAATTACACAATTACCCAATTAGTAAATGACCGACATCCTTAAAACGGAGCAACGCCTTTTTATCATCACTTTCAGATGAAAACATTCTTCTGTCCAACTAAAACAAAGTTAAAGCTATGTATGTATGTATGTATGCATGTATGTATGGATAATGTGATGATGATGATGAACCACATACGCATACACATACTTATTATTATTGACCTTTCTGGTCCGAGCCCACTAGGAGAGGACAAACATGTGAATGCTTGTTTTTGCTACAACTCAAACTGACCCAATGGGAACGGGTGGTGTTATTTTGTATTTTATTTGATTCAAACTCTCCAACTAGCCAGTTAGTTCCAAACAACAACCACAAATTTGCCTTTCTTTCTTTCTTTCTTCCTCAAAAAGTCATCCTTCCAAACACAAGGGACCATCTGCTCCGACATCCAAATGCAGCAAAACGACGGCGACGGAACCCTAACCGGTATCTCAATCCTTATCATGTCATTGGAACCCTAGCTAGCTACCATTGCTTCTCCAATAAAATCTGCATACTATTATTATTAGTTTTATTATTTTTATAGCGGAAACTCTTTTTGTAGAATATCAAGATTCCGAGAATCACAAGCTTCCAACATGTCACTCCTATCAGCACAGCTGCAACATAACAAAACAAAACGTACATAATTCATTCACCTTTCGAGGTATGATTGCATAGCAGCTTACCAACCACAAAAATGAAAATAAAAAAAGGAATCTCTCCGTCTTTTCTTATCATACCTTAAAGAAATTCTTAAGTACTGCCATGCATTATCTGCCTTTGGATTCATAGTGAGCGCACGAACATAATAACGAATTGAATCCTCGTGCATACCCTAAACGCCAAAAAAAAAAAAAAAAAAAAAAACGGGAAGAGAAGAAGCTCATTAGCTATTTGGTTTGGTTTTATTTGTCACAGATTTAAGTACAAGTATGAAGATTACAACATATGCGGAAATAACAAGCATTAGAAGAAACTAAATATAGCAGTAACTTAACAAGGGTTAGGGGATGAACCTGGTTAGCGTAACTGATACCCATGTTCGCCCAAGCACGAACATAATTGGGCTTCAAATCTAGTGCCTAACAATACAGGAAGATATAATGAATGTCAGAGTGATTTCAAGTTGAGAATGTTACCATAGGGCTGCAAGAATAACAGAAAATAACCATTTACCAACACAAATATATATTCATACTCAAATGAGTGACATCATTTCTTATTTTTGTAAAGCCTTGGAAGTTTAGGATTCAAATGCTAAACAGACAACAACAACAACAAGCCTTAATCCCAACTTAATTGGGGTCGGCTATATGGATTTCACTTTTCCACGCGGCTCTGTTTGAAATTAGACTTTCCAGAAGGCCTAGATCTAGAATGTCTTTCCTAACTACTTCGGTCCACATAATTCTTGGTCTACCTCTCCCTCTCCTAGTATTAGGTATAAGAATGTCCTCCCAAGCACGAACTGGTGCTTCTAGCGGTCTACGTTGGACATGCCCGTACCACCTCAAGCGGCCTTTGCCCACCTTATCTTCTATTGGTACTACACCTACTTTACTACGGATAACTTCATTTCTTATGCGATCCCAAATGCTAAACAGAAAAAGAAAAAAAATGTTGGGACCTAATTCCATGTTAAATTTCCCTTTCTTTTTATCCCTAGGAGAATACAAGGCATTTACGCAGACTACCTGTTGATAAGCCAATATTGCGTCAGCGCTCTGAATGCTATTTGCTTGTGTTGCGCCAAGCTTGTTCCAAAGAGAATAGTCATGCGGCTTGAGTTTCAAAGCAGTCTGGAAGGCATCGATCGCTTTGTCAAACTCTCTAGATAAGTTGTAAAGAACACCCAACACTATGTGTACATCGGCATCCTCGGGCGACATTTGAGCAGCTTCATTGAATATTCTAGCTACCTGGATGCAGCAAAGTAGACAGACAAATAAATAAAATGTTGCATACTCGCAAGGAAATTTGCATATTTTTTAATAGATAACTACACACTTGTGAGGATAAGAGTATGAGAAAGATGAAACACAGACGTACAAGCATTATTTACAAAGATAACACTTACATCAGCATAGTACAAAGAATCAGCCAACTCAGGAGGGGCAAGCGACCCGTATTTTGGATGATGGCGCAACCAACCATATAAATATTTTAGTGCAGCTGCCTGCTCCAACTCTGCATATTTAAAAAGAGATAATTATAAGCGTATTGATTGCTATTAGTAACATAATACCTCTAAGGACCGAGGAGTATAGTTCCCCAAACTGGCCAAAGTAACAGGATCTGAATGCAATAATTCATTATAATAGGTTAATTGTTTCACACCAAGAGCAACTTACTGACCATTCGTGTGACTCACACCAAGAGCGAGAAGCACTTCCAGATTTGTCGGATTGGCGTCCTGTGCACGCATCATAGCTGCAATAGCCTGCATAGATTACAAATTTACACTTGGTCTTGAAGAATATAAATTCGTATGATAGAACTGTTGATAACAAGAATAGAATAACAAAACCAAAACATAAGATAAAAAGCACTATGACTACACTAAGCTACAGTATGGATTGTCCAAAGCTTGACAATCCACAATTCCACCTTTCTTCTTTTTACAAAAGTAAGATTCTGATATAATGCAGTACACTATATTCTAAACAAAATGGAAATTGATTAGAAATTAGAGATGCAAAGTGCAATATTTGTAACCAAAACATGTGAAAAAATTGATTGACATCAAATGTTATTGATTTTACCTGTTGATCATCATCATTCTCAGCGTGTGCTATTCCAAGGAGTCTCCAACCTTCAGCATTCTCCGGGTTTTTCAGGACCTCAGCCTCTAAAGCAAGCACTGCTTCACTCAAAAGGCCTTTACGGAACATTTCTTGGCCTTCTTTTAAGGGATTGGGGTGACCAACATAAGGATTCATGTCAGAGAACACATAGACCCCCCTAGAAGCATCCGATCGCTGCTTGGCAGCTACTTGCTCATTCAGGTACCTATTTTCCAAATACCATATACGGATTTATATAGATTCACATCATGTTTTCAGAAGAAGAAAGCACTTAACATATCCAATTTTTCATACTCATTGATTTTATTACTTAGCGTCAGGCTGACCGTGCCACTGTGCCATAAATATAAATAATGGCACATGGCCAGTTTAAATTCATAATCGGCAGACTTCAAAATTTGGACTCCCGCATTTAACATTGTTAATCAATTACCATTGGAATAAACTGGCACCTTATTACCCTAAGACATAATAGATTAGCATCATGGCAAACAGTAAAGTAGCAGTGGTTAGGAAGAAGTGGACAACCACTTCTTCATCTTGAAGATACACAATCGATAACATAAAAGCAAATTTGGCCATTTACGTTACTAAATATTCATTGCAGAGCAAGCATACTTACTCATCATAAGCATTAGCCCAACTATCGGCAGCTCCTTCACCAACTTGCCTCCCAAATTCATCTGCCCATTCTTCATCTAGGTGCAAATTAGAAAACTCATTGACCCACTGGTCATCGACTGATCCACGCTTTTCTTCACCAGAAGTAAACTCATTCACCCAGCGATCAGTTCCACGAGAAGTCTGCAAACCTCAAGCAATCAGGTACCAGAAATGTTTTTACTAGGACAACAACTACAGTCTACTGAAACTAAGAATTACATGCATGCTATGAGACTTGATCATGGAAATCAGAATCCGGGGACATTTAACTCCTTAAGCAAAAGATATCTATTGGCAGAAACACACACACCGAATAAGCTTTTATATGCACAAGAGAAATAACAACGATTGGCTACAGCAATTTATAAATAGTTTTTTACATACAAATTCATCAGCCCAAGAGGGACCCGCATTGTACTGCTGTTGATACTCTGTTGCCCAGTCCCCAGATGATGTAGCAGTCTGCCTCACTTGATTATCATCCATAGTAAGTTCGCCACGACTCATCTTTGATACAAACTGAAGAAACTTTGAATTCTGAATAAATGACAACTTCATGAATTAGTTCACATAAAATATAAAAAGAAAAATAGAAACAATAAAAACTTTTGATAATTGTTCAAAGATAAAGAGTGATAATGTTAGGATCGTGGTTGAGTCCCACATTGCTAATGTATGGGCTTAGCATGTGGGTTTATAACCACTTGGGCACCCTCTCCCTACAAGCTAGTTTTTGGGGATGAGTTCTACCCAAGGGTTATAACAATTGGTATCAGAGCATGCTCCTCCTCAGGCCCACGTTGCGGAAGGACCTGGGGAGGGGCGACCTGGAAAGGCCAGAGTGGGCCATCCAGAGTGGGCCGCCATGGACGTCGGCGTCGGAAGCGTGCTGGTATGTTAGAATCCTGATTGAGTCCCACATTGCTAAAGTATGGGCTTAGCATTTGGGTTTATAACCACTTGGGCACCCTCTCCCTACAAGCTAGCTTTTGGGGATGAATTCTACCCAAGGGTTATAACAGAAAAATGTTGGTGAAAGTTTTTCTAGACGTCTCACACAAATATATGGGTCCATACTCAATTCCTTGACCAAATATCAGTCAATAAAGAAAGCAAAAAAGATAAGTATTAATAGAAGGATTTTCAATTACTACATTCTGGCTGGTTTTGAAATTTGAATACCTTCAGCCACAGAAAGCATGCTAGACTGCCTGGAATATGTAGCATGAAGAAAATAATTTATAAATAGTGAAGATATGTGGACTTTCAAGGTACGTCCCAGGCTATTCAATCATGACAACATCGAGAAATTTTACAATCGAAGTACCAAACCCATCAATTTTTAAGATGGCACCCAATCCTCGAAAAAGAGGGATTTGATCATATGCTTCGTTACCTAGTATGCCAACTATTTCAGCCCCTTCTAGAGTGACATACAATAAGCAGTTGAGCGAGGAAGAAGAAAAATGTTTTGGCTCACTTCAGCAGGCCCAAAAAAAAAAAAAAAAAAAAAAAAAAAAAAAAAAAAAAAAAAAGAAGAAAGAAAGAAAGAAAGAAAAAGAAAAAAGAAAAGGTTCCACATATGGGTGGCGAAAAGCCTATGAGTGTCCATGTTTCTGAAATTGTAGATCGACTAGAGTATACAACAGTAGAAAAGTTATGAAAGCCTACGAAGATTATTTTCTAGAGCTTGCACAATGATAACACTCTCCGAAAATTTGGAAATAAAGCTCATGCTAATTAAGTGCAAATTTTAAGAGAAGCGTAAAGGTTATTGTCCTCGCTTATAGACCTGAAATTTAGGGTCATGGTTTTGAGCTAATGTGTTGGCAAGCATACGACTCTGCTCCATTGCAGCTAAATTTGCAAGATTTGCACTTCCCATGTGATCCATGGATGCCAACTGAGACTGCTCCTGTGACCACAAAATTACACGATCAAAAGCAATATACACATGCCTTGAAGGATGTTCCATGATACTTGCAATGAATGGCCATGAAACAATGAAACGATTTCAAAATTCAGGTTCAAATTTATAGATGGGAAAATTTCTAGTGTTTGCTTGCCTGCTGAAATTCTGAGGCCCAACCATTAGCACCATGTTGTTGTTCAAATGAGTGGGCCCAAGCATCAGGATCACCGTGTTCTATTCGATGCTGCCCGAATTCAGCAACCCATCCATCTGTAGGATGCAGAGGCTTTATGATGCCTTGGGATTCATTCCAGTAGTCGTCCAGTTCCCGTAATCTAGCATGTAGAGGTCCCTTAACCTGGCCATTGTTGTCGATATCCAAAGAACACAAAAGGGCATTCACCTGACCAATTAACAAGTGCACAAAAACTTACCACTGTTAGGAAATCCACACCATCACTTTCTTTTCAAAAAATAAAAATAAAAAAGGAGCTCAAGCTTCTTGTTGTTGTTCTTGCAGTTTGTGGTGGTTAGAGATGTAAATATGTACCTATGGTTACTAAAACAATAGCAAACAGGTATATGATTCAAATCCCAAGTTGAGAAAATTTCGTCGATTGATGAGTGTGGTGCTCATTCTTACAATTCATAAAGGGGCACATTATAAAACTGGGCCAAAGAGACCAAAACAAACTCTAAAGCTTGTTACATCCAAACGAGGCAATAGACGGGCTTCAAACCTGCGCGTTAATAAACTCTTCGCCTTTATCGGCGAAGATGTGTCTGGCCATTATGCTGGTGCGGTCGCGTATGCATTGTTTGTCACCTTGAGACAATCCTAAGAGGGGAAGAGGAGCAGGACGAAAAGGAATTCCGCCACGGCTGCTCTCAACAAACGAGTGCAGAAAGTTGGACAGCACTCTTTGAGGCGGCCCTGCAGTTCATTTGAAAACAATAATAAAGTTGGAACTTGAAAGAGGAGAGAGAGGAAGTTAGAGGTGTGGGGGAGAATGTTAGGATACCATCCAAAGTGGGTTGAAGTTGAAGGTGAGAAGGAAGATGAGATTGGGAAGAGGCCTGTTGTGTCTCATCCCACGCATCCGAAAGCGAGGAATAATCGGCAGAGCGGAAGGCGCCGATGAAATCCGATCCCTGACATGGCAACACAACACAATTAATGACATACATATATATACAGAATCTAAAACATTAGAACTGAATTCCAACTCCAAAGACTGAAGTTGAAATTAAAAGAAATGCATAATCGTAAGAGAGTAGTAATATTCAGTAACGTAAAAAGGTAGCAAATTGAGTATTGGGTTTGTTTTATTAACGACAACTAATTCAAGTGTTGTAGTCTGTCAGATATCATATCATCATAAGATATGGATGATGGATTATGGAGAGAATTAAATTAAAATAAATTAATTAAGAGGAAGAAGAAGAAGAAGAAGAAGAAGAAGGGGTTACCTGGGAGGAAGGAGGCAACAAAGGACGGTCGAACTCGGAACCAGGGAGCTGATTAATAAGAGGTTGATCCAACAACTGCGCATCTCTTTCCGATGACGCCGCCGCCGCCGCCGCCGCCGAGGTGGGAATCTCCTCTAGCCTCTCCTGTATTGTATGCAATTGAATTTTGTGAATATAAAAAAAATCAATCAAATAAAATCCCAACTGCTTTGCAAATAACAAATAAATTAACCTTAGTCTTGGAAGAAGAGCCGAGAAGAGCGTTGGCGAGAGCGCCCAGAGGATTCGATGAAGAAGATGAGCCTGGAACCGCACAAGCAGCCCCTCCCGTTACCACCTCTCGCATCGCCATAATCTCTCTCAATATTCACCACCGCAAATTCAATCAATCACTCTTTGTAATTTATAATTTATAACATGCCTTCCCTCTTCCCCTTAATAATAGTCTTATGTTATCTACTCTTTTTTGCTTCTGCTTCTTCTTCTTCTTCTTCTTCTTATTTTCTTCCTCTTCTTCTACTATTATAATAATAATAATAAATTATTTATTTTATTGGAGGTGGATGATGCATTATTATTCGGTGTGTGGTAGCTTTGGAATTGCAAAATCGATAACTGCGTGCGTGTGTCTGTGTCTACACTTTCCTATGCTGACGAAAGCCAACTTCTTAATATGGGCCCAGAGCTACCGCTATTTGTAAATGGGCCGGCCCGCTTTTATTTTTATTTTTATTTTAAAAAAAAAACAACGAGAAATAAAAAATATGAAAAAGCAAAATAGCCAAAAATATTAATGTCTAAATTATCCCTTTTAAATAAAATCCTAGTCCTTAATTTTTTTTATAAAAAAAAAAAAAGATTTTGAGTTAATTATATATGAGGAATTTGATTATTTTTCAAAAAATTTATTTGTAAAATATAGAATTAACAATTCGAATCAGACATTAATTGTTAATTAAAAATAAGAAAAATAAAATAAAATAAAAGAATAAGAAAGGAAAACAGGGAAAAGGAAGGAAGGAAGGCAGGCAAGCAAAAGGGGAGATTGTGAAGAAAATAAAGGGCAGGCAGAGTGAGCGGCCGGAAAAAGGCGGAGCCCTAAAATTAGAACTAAAAACCGTAAAATTGGAGGGGAAATTGGGGGGGAATGGCGTCGGCGGCGTCGTCGTCGTCGAACTCGAGCAGCGGACTGACGTTCAAGCTGCATCCGCTGGTGATAGTCAACATCTCCGATCACTTCACCCGAGTCAAGTCTCAGCAGCAGCGGACTTCTTCTTCTCCGTCTTCTCCTTCTTCTTCTGATAATGATATCAATGATCAACAACAACAACAACAACAACAGCAGGAGCATCAACAGCCTCCTCGCGTGTACGGCTGCGTCATCGGAGTACAGAGGGGCCGTACGGTCGAGATCTTCAACAGCTTTGAGCTTCTCTACGATCCCTCCACCCATTCTCTCGACCGCCCCTTCCTCGAGAAGAAGCAGGAGCTCTGTATGTTTTGCTTCTTCTTCTTCTTGTTACTATTTCTTCTCTTTCCTTTCTTTAGGGTTTTCAGGGTTTTTCTTTTCGTTCAGATAAGAAGGTTTTCCCTCACTTTTACATCCTGGGCTGGTACTCCACCGGAAGCGACGCTCTCGAATCCGACATGCACATTCATAAAGCCGTATGTACCTCCTAATCCTAAATCTTAATCTTTTCTTACATGAATTTGTGGAAACCATTCCTCTTTTTTTTTTTTTTTTCCTTCTCTTTTCTACACGCCCTAATCATAATTTCAACAAAACACGCACAGTTGATGGACATCAATGAAAGCCCGGTTTATGTTCTGCTGAATCCTTCCATCAATCATGCCCAGAAGGATCTCCCTGTTACCATTTTCGAGAGTGGTACGTATCTATGCCTGCCCGTATCTCGAAACAAACTCTAAAATAATACTAGATTCGATTATTATGTTTATAAAGGGTCTAATTAGTGATTAGTTATCGTCTATATTTAATTACTTTTGCACTTAAAATAGCTTGTTTCTGATTTGTAAAACTACTACTATAGCCAAATGATTTTGATTGGGATTTTTTCTTCTTTTGTTATTAGCCCAATTAGGAAAAAAAAATCCTTTTAATGTTGCTCTATTTAATATTTTTTCTACTGAATTTAATTTTTTTTAAAAACAATGATAAAAAACATGAACTATAAAATTTTTTAAAAGAATTAGGACCTCAACAAATTTGCAAAATTAAGAGCTGCATGTCATTGATGGAGTGCCGCAGCTAATTTTTGTACGCTCAAGCTACACTATTGAGGTTCGTTCGTTCGTTACACATACATACATACATACCTTGTTTATCTTATTTACTAAATTAAAATTACACATTTATATTTATTTATTTGTTTATTTATTCGATTGAAAGACTGTAGAAGCAGAAAGGATCTCAGTTGATCATGTTGCTCATCTTAAACCATCTGATGGCGGTTCCGCCGCAACACAACGTCAGCCCTTCTTTCTCTCTCTTTTTCTCTTTGCCGCCGCTTAAATCTTTGATTCCCTCATTTCAGTTCAGTTGAGAAATGTAATGTAATTCTTGTGTACTTACTATTGACATTATTAAGTTGGTTGGGTTGTTTGCAATTGCAGTGGCTGCCAACCTCACAGGCATACATAGTGCCATCAAAATGCTAAACAGCAGAATAAGGGTGCTTCATCACTATCTACTTTCTATGCAGAAAGGTATATGAATTTCTTTATTCTCTACTAATGTTTGTTTGTTTTACTGATCTATTATTCGAGTAATTAGAGGCGACGGAGAGAAACCTCGCGATACTGTATTATGCCAACTTTGTTTTCTTAAGAAAAAGAGGACTGGACCGATGCTTTTGTTTCTGTTGTGCATATGCATTGCAGGTGAAATACCTTGTGAGAATTCACTACTAAGGCAAGTGTCGAGTCTTCTGAGAAGGTTGCCAGCTATTGAATCTGGAAAGTTCCTAGATGATTTCTTGATGGTAAGTGTTGCTTATTTCTTAGAAATTGGAAAAGCCAATGATTTGGTGGTTTTTTTATTTGTATTATTCGGTGGTTTTTATATGTGTATTCGGTTCAATGAAGTGGTAAGGGGGAAAAAAAAAAACAAAGTGATTGAGAATTTACATGCTAATATACTAAATTAGATTAATCTACTCGTTATGATTCCTACGAATGGCTTTATTGCCAACTCACTCACTGTCTATGTGTCTACATTGTTCTATAGGAATACAATGATACATTGTTGATTACATACCTAGCCATGTTCACCAACTGCTCGAGGTATGATATGAGACCTTCTCAGATCTTTTGAAATTTTTATCATCCTAATTTATACCTTTCCATTAAAAAGATTAGATCTTTATTGTTTCAACGCGGTAAGAGAAAAGAATATAATACTTGTCAAGTGGGGTTTAAACACGTGTTCAGCTGCTAGTACCAAGTAACTTGCTAGCCTTGACTTGCCATGCAATTTAGATAGAGCTTGAGCTTTATTGTGGGCTCAACGAGATAACAATTTTCATGATACGCTTGCTAATTTCTAAGCACGCTGGCATTCTTAAATAGATAACCTATGTAGCTTAGAGCTTGTTTCATAGGAGGGAAAAGTGCAAGGAGTTGGGGGTGAGAGGACGTTAGGACCCATGATTGTTTGATATGAGAAAAAAGAGGAGGGAATGAACGGATTGGGTGAAGGATTTCAAATCCTTCAAAGAACACCGATTTAATCTCTCCAAATGTAGAGAGATTAGAGGAGAGAATCCGTACTAAACATAACGAGAGAAATTTCCTCTGCTTGCTTTCTATTTTTCTTGCCTAGGTTATACATCTTTCTTCCATTCTTATTTTCTTTCCCTCTTACAAAACATAGTCTTATGTTGGTAAGGGCAAATTTGCAACTCATGTGCCTGTGCCCATTTAGGGGGCCTTTTAGCTCATGGGTTCATGTGATTTGAACCGTGAACGCATTCCAAACCATTGTTTGGATGCACAAGTTTTTGGCCCAGTTTGAACCATGATGTGATGTTTTAAACCAGTTGAACTAGGAAAATCAAAACTTGGACTCTCACTATTATATGGTTTGAACCCGTGTTCCAAACCAGACTTTTAAGACTTTATAGTTCAAACCATCACATTTTGAACCCCTGAACCTTTAGGACCCTAAACCAAACTAATTAGGTTCCTTTGAATGTTCTTGCCAATTTTGCAGAATATGTAGAAATTTAGAATTTTATGTATCAAGTAAACTAGAACTGTGAACACAGATATTAGTAAACTCCATTCTGCTGAATTCCACAATTGCTTCCCATATTTTGACAATTGACTTTTTTTTCCCCTCGTCTCCCAGCACAATGAATGAGCTAGTCGACAAGTTCAACACGGCTTATGACAGGCATAGTCGAAGGGGCGGAAGGACTGCTTTTTTCTGAAAATTGGTTACTCTTTTAAGTCTTATCTGATAATCTGAGTGACTTGAGAGTAGCGAGTGCTGCTGTTTGTTTGAAAGTCGGCACATGCAAGCAAGCTTTTAGAAATTATGTTTCTAAGACGTGAACCATACAGAAACAAAAAGAATCTGAGATTTTGAGGGTATATTCATTTTGTTTACTTAACTGTGCGTAGTGTAAGATATGAGAATTGAGATTCAATTTTCTTGTAAGGGTTCAAAATTCAGCCATTTCTGGTCTTTCTACGGATCGAAAAGAAATTTACTCAGTCAATATTGGAAATTGGAAAAGACAAATGACGAGAACATCGGTCTTTTACTTTCTGGTAATTGGTGTGTAAATAACCAAAAGTTTACAACCAAACTTATTCCAGGACAATTGTCCTCGAAGCAGTCGAAAACAAGACAACGAAAATCGCCCTTAAAACTCAAAATGTCTGACTGCAACATCACTTGAATTTGGACGCTGCATCTCCCCAATTAGTAGTCATTGAAATTTTTCACTCTTTTTATCGCCGTAGCGTTGGTGTTGTCACACTCGTGCTTTGCAAAGACAACAAGTATTATAAACTATCAAAAACAAAAACGACCAGAGTGAGAAACAGACAATTTTGAAACTATGGTCTAGTCCCGAACTAGCACAGAACAAGAAAAAAAATAAATAAATAAATAAAAGGTACAAAGATAAGTAGTGAAACGACATGTGGAGTAGAAAACACGAGCAATTTCCTAGGGATTGTAATGTGAATTGAGAGTATTTCATGTTATCCTCTCTCAAATCTCAAATCTCAGTTCTTATTGATGTGATAAAATTGTAAAGTCTAAAGACTTCAGATAGAGAGCTCAGTTTTGGAGATAAGAATGCCATCGCTATCTGCATATAACCATTCTCCGTCACGTATCAAGGCTCCTCCAACGTGGACAGGCACGTGCTTCTCCCCGACTCCTTTCTTGTTTGATTTCACAGGATGAGATGCCAAAGCCCTGACCCCAATATCACAGCCGTTGATCTCATCAACATCTCTGATGCAGCCATTCACCACGATCCCGGCCCACCCCATGTTCTGTGCCAGCTGCCCCAGATTCCCCCCAACCAAAGCACATCTCATACTCCCTCCCCCATCTATCACCAACACCCTTCCCTCTCCTTTGCCCTCCAAAACCTCCCTCACCAACACATTGTCCTCGAACACCTTCAGCGTAACCACGGGCCCCGCAAACGCCCTGCACTGCCCGTACGTCTTGAACAGCGGCTGCAACACATGCAGCTCCCCGGTGGCAAGAAGTGCTGCATTTGTGTCGCAGACTTCCGCGGTTGCCAGTGCTGCCATTTTTCTTTCACTAGATGGAATGGAATGGAATGGTTAATTACATCCTATTCATTTAATAACAGTAAAGAGTTTTCAAGCACCAGAGAGACCTTTTCATAATGCAAAAATTATGACTAAGCACAAAAGTTGTATTGTGGCACAATGTCCAATGATAGTCGGATAATGTTTTTGACAATTATCACACTAAAGGTCCGTTTAGTTCGTTGATTTAAGTTTTTAATTCGAGTTGAGATGTGATTTTATGTGAAAATTTTTTATTATAACAGAAAAGTTAAATATGACTGTTTCTAAGAGCTTTTAACTGTAGTAAAACTCGAATTCTAAACTCAAATTAGTGAAATGAATGGGATCTAAGAATAAGATATTGCATGTATAACAGCAGAAAGACCCAACTCTACTATTTTTCAACTACCAAATGCAATTAATTAATAAGAGTGGGACGAACATATACAAAAGCGCGATTATTCAAATTAGTGAAATGAATGGGATCTAAGAATAAGATATTGCATGTATAACAGCAGAAAGACCCAACTCTACTATTTTTCAACTACCGAATGCAATTAATTAATAAGAGTGGGACGAACATATACAAAAGCGCGATTAGAGTAAGGAATGCTTAGAGGCAAACAAGTAATTCTTTTGTTTCTTAATTAAAGCAAAGAAGCCAACTACGTAATCCGTAACAGTTTTATTTAGTCAAATAATGAATTGCTTGCCCAATCACAAGATTCGAATTTTCCACGCCCAAGAACAAAATAAGATATTTAGCAATATGGAGCGATTGAAAAAGGGAAAAAATAAATAAATAAATAAAGCAAAAGGAAAGAACAGAAAAGAAAAAGGAAAAAGAAAAAGAACGGAGAAAAAGGGACTTAAATTGAAGCTTACCCAGAAATAGGAAGGGAAGAGGATAAATATTAAAACTTTGGTTGTGTTTGAAGGGCCTCGAATCTTCACCCTTCAACCCTTTAGTCTCCTGCTTCTGATTTCTGAATTCTCTACACGTTGTTCTCAGTCCTGCGATTAAGAACTTTCCATATAATTGAGTCATATCCATCTAATATAGAATATATATTAATAATAATATAATTGATTACGTCATATATATGTATATGTAGAAGAAATAGGGTAGCAATACATTGCAATAGCAAACAAAGAGATGATGTCATTTTCTTTTTATCATTGAATCGGGTGAATTGCTGCGATTATTGTTTTCTGTGCCTTCTTCTGACTGACATCGTAATCCCCACCAAAGTTTGTTACCTTCAGGAATCAGGATTCGTCTCATCTCTTTGATTTGCGATTAACTCCTCAGGCCTATTTTCAGACGGGACATGGAAGTTCGAAGCACACTTTTTAAAAAGTTAATTTTTTAAGTTGAAATCTCAATCTCTTGCGGTAGATCTTATAGTCTTAACAAGTAGTATCAAAGAGCGGTAAGTACTATTTATTTAAATTTAATTTCTGAATTGAAATAAGTGTTACGAATGAAACATTTTTGTCAACAAAAGAAATTCTCTCTCCTCTGGCATCACAGCCTATTCTCTACCGGCTTCTGAAAGAAGATCGGATTGGTGAACAAGATGCTTCCTCTCCTCGGCTCACTTCACTACCTTTAGAGAAAACAGTTCCAGCAGAAGACGAAGAAGACTCTCGGATGACACTTCTTTTCTTCTTTGTACGAGTCTCTAAGAGCAGGGGATTCGAGAATAAGTAAGAAAGAGCCTCTCGTCCATTAAGGTCTAAGTTGCGCTGTACTCTGGGCATATTCAAACTCCTAACTTATCTAGCCGGTGTTTGCTAGGTTTATTGAGCTAACTGACTACTGCTTTCACTGGAAGCGGCTTAGCTTGTGTTATGCGTAAGACATCTAGATTGGCTTGGCAGGTTCGAGCGTAGATCGGTTGGTTTGTCTTCGGCGATAAGCCTACCTTTGAAAGGAGCCAGGAAAGCAAGCCTTTAAGCCAGAAGTGGAAAGCCGCTCTCTCGGAAGTCAGAACGAATACCGAGACCCCTTTCTTTCATTCAGCGACTGGGTACGCACTTCGCCATGAAAGATCTTGGTGATCTTCATTTCATTTCTTCTTGGGAAGTTGAAAAAAGTTTATATGTCAAAATCTCTAAGAAATCGATTATATTTGAAAAAATATTTGTATGAGTTGAAGATGGATAAAGAAAGTGATGTTAGGAACCATATAAAAATTTGAATAAGTGCATAACTCAATTATTAAGTGTAGATGTCAAAATTAATGAGAAAGATAAAACGGTAATTTTGTTGACCTCCTTACCTAAATCACATGAGACTTTGGTAGCTACATGGATGAGGTGTCAACTACTCTGTTAGAGATTGCAAATATAAAGAAGCCAAGTAGTACGTCTCATACTGAGCAAGTTTTAATGGCACGAAGTCAGATTCAAATAGGGGTAGAAGTAAGTCACGAAGGTGATATTATGATAAAAGAGATGATCGTTTTCAATCCCGATCAAGGAAGGATATTGAGTGCTACGATTGTCATAAGAAATTGTATATTAGGAGAAATTGTGAAGAATTAATAAAGCACCCTGAAAAAAAGAGAAAATAAGAAACCTAAGAGACTTCAGATTCTACAAATGTTGTTGACTACATGTATGACAATGAAGATAATGTTTATTAAGTCATTACTGATAAAAATATTTCTGACTCATAAGTTTATTTGTAAGGTATGATTTTTATGATAATTCTAATGAGATTTAATCTTCTTGATTCACACATGAACCGTTGAACATGTTGTTCACGGCTATGATAGTTAAATAATTGGTGAAAAACTCATGAAATTAAATTATGAATAGAATTTTTAACATTGTACTCTTAACCGGAGTGTCGAAATTAATCAAGAATAGAATTTTCTCAAAATTCCATTTCAAGGTTAATTTTGCAATTTTGCCAAAATTCAGTGTTGAAAATAGAATTTTTGAAAAATGTGTGATCCAAACTATGATTTCAAAAATAACTCTCCCTTTCATTTTCAGACTCATCCACTCTCTCTCTCTCTAAAATTCGTTTCTAGAAAGAGAAAGCTCAATAAACCTAAACCACTCAAACCACCTCCAAATTCAAAGTTTTGTCTTTTATCAAAATATCTTCCTCACTCCATTGTTTGATCATGCACGAACGTTTTCAAGTGTTCAAAGAGGATTATAGAGTCCAAAATTTATGCTAAAGTGGCTGCCATTTTAAAATCCGAGAGTTGTTACATACTGTTGCAAGTTGTGGTTGTGTTTTGGTAAGTTCCTCTCTAACAAACTTCCTTTTTAACAATTTCTCTCCATGGTTGTCTATTAATCCGAATTTTTTGTTCTTCTTTCTCGGTAAGAATCTTATTTTAATCAAATCCTTCAAGCTAAGAACGAGTTTTCATCATCAATGGAGCCTAAAACAGCTTTTTCTTTAAGGGTGAGTTTTTAAGCTCTTGTAATTTTGGTCCTATGTTAGAATATAGTTTTTTGTTCTTGTTTTGAGTATTATAGCTAAATCTCTTGCTGGTTGAGTAATATAAACTCTTTAAATGTCTCACATCATTAAGGGGTGATGTTCTTCCTTATAATTCTTTATCTATATCCTTCTCCGGCCAATATGGGATTGTAAAGTTTTCTTAGATTTCATGCTTCAAGGTATTGATGATTATTACAGTCACTCTTCTTTGTGGAGGTCCAACATCCTCGTTGGACATATTTCTAGCTAGGTACAGTTTTTGATACCCTAAAAGGTCTCATATCATTAGAAGATGGCATTGTTCACTTTAGGTCTGAACATGCACAGTTTTACTTTTAAGTTTCACCTCAAAAGACTTCATACTATTAAAAGATGGTGTCATTCTTTATAAACAGTTATCTATAACTATTCTCAGGCGATGTGAGACTCACAACTTACTTTTTCTTAGACTTTTTTCTTCAAGAGATTGATGATTGTCATAACTACCCCACAATTTGGGGGCCCAACATCCTCGTTAGCCATACATTTAACTTGGTGTAGGCTCTGATACCATTCTATAAATGGCCCACATCTTCGGAACTACTTCATGAGCCTTCTTCTAGCACCGCTCCAACCGTTCTTCACACATTTCCGGTATAGATATGTGTATACACATAATATAAAGAATTCTTTTTACTAGCAAAAAAACAGGCTGTAATTCTTTTGTTTACAAGGCAAATGAGCCTAGCCAACCAAGTAACATTTCTAATCCAGAATTGTTTTATTTAGTCAAATAATGAATTGCTCAGAAGATTCAAACTTTCCACGCCCAACAACAAAATACGATAAGCGAGACGATGAATTAATAGATACAATTATTGTGTGTTTGGAGGGCCTTGAATCTTCACCACTTCGACTCTAATCGCTGTTTTTGATTTCTGATTTTCTCTACTAAACGTTTATTCTCAGTCCTGCTTTTTAAGTTGTCATTATCATACATACCACTAGGAACTTTCCGTGTATATATGAAGTATCTGTAACTGTCGTTATAGATTTATAATATAATATAATAAATTAAATGTCCGTTTAGTTCGCTGATTTAAATTTTTAATTCGAATTGAGATGTGACTTTATGTGATATTTTTTTATTGTAACAAACAAGTTAGATGTGACTGTTTCTCAGAGCTACAAAATTCAAATTCTAAACTCAAATCAATAAAATGAACGGGGCCTAAGCATTCTTTTTATTGATTCAAATTGAGACATTGAGTTAAAATTTATTTATGTGACAGAAAACACTCTAATAAAAAAGTCTGAATTTAAATTTCTATGAGATAAAATAATGCAACAAAATGTTTGAAGTTGTGATTCGAGTTGCGAAAAGAATTACTCCCAAAAGTCCTTGGGAAGAAATAGAATAGCAACTAGCAATGCAATAGCAAAGAAAGAAACGATGTCATTTTCTTTTTTATCATTGAATCGTGTGAATGGCTGCGATTGTGTGACCGTCCAAAGAAAAAAGAAAAAAAGAGAAATAGAGAGATATCTTATTCTTCCATTGTTATGTTTATAGACCCTTATCTATACTGGAAATATCCTTGAAGCTTTCTAAACCATTTATCTAAAACACTTGTTCTTCTCCACCATCTGATTTGACCCTCTCTTTCCATCTTCAAGTTTTTCTGCTTTTTTACTTAGCCTCTTTCACTCGGATCTTTCATTCTGGGATCAACTTCTTCGGTTATTAATTTTGTCATATGTTGTTTTGGTTGAACCAAATATGAGATCGTTTCTTCTTAATTTGCGTTGTCACCCTCTGAACACCGTCGTTTCTTTTACATCAAAATGATGTCGTTTTAGCGACTGGATCTTTCCACTCCGACACTAATACATGAGAAAACTATTGGTCAAGCAATTAGTGATTCCTTATGTTAGTCGGTCATTCATTCATTCATTCATATTTCATAATGCTGGTCATTTTCGTAACTATTAATTCTTCTTACTAGGATAGAATTTTCCTCATATACATGCTAGCTATTATTGATGTGACAAAAGTGTATTTATTATATATGGACAAAAATTATATCAAATCAGGAGACTTTTAAACGATTTTAGACGTTTCGTACGGGTCGAATACTTTTGAAAGCTAGCTCACATTGACTTGAGCAGTTGACTCATCTTTTTAATTTCTTCAGCTGATCAATAAGGTGATGTTTGTTTTAATAGTTTTGTCTAGTTTAAGATCATACTTCGTAGTTCTGATGTAGTGTTTTTCTCTCAAAAAATTTAAATTGAAAGAAGAAAATAGAGATAAACCCACCTCAACCTTACACAAAAAATTGAAGGAATGCCCTTTGTGTTATGATCAGAGCTCTTAAAAGATGTCAGCTTCAAAGGAGAATTCTAACAAAAAATGATTAATTTCAATGAAAAGGACAGTTGTGCTAGTGCGCTAGTGTGTGGGCTACTAAGTTACTCCCATGCAGTGCTGAAATTTTGGACCGGCCGCCCGCGACCACTGAAAAGTCAAAATTTTTACCTGATGACCGAGCCCGAACTGCCTGAATTTTTGGGCTGCCCGATCCGACCCGAATTTTCTTCTTGGACAGGCTTCGGGCAGCCTTTGGCTGTCCGTGCCCGGTCGGGCTGCCCGATACCCGACCGAGTTGCCCAAAATTTTAAATATTTTTTATATTATATTATATATTTATATATTATTATATATATATATATTACAATTTGAAATTTAAAATGAACACACGAACTATATAAAAAATTATTTCTTTATTGATTTTTAAATTTGTAATTCATGATTGTCTCGTTAAAAACCTTACCAAGAAAAATCCAATTGGGATAAAAACTTGGTAAGGAAAAAAGAGTGCAATCATTGTGTGATGAATTACAAATTTGACGAACTTATAAAGTTTATACAAGATTACAATAACAATATACAAAGTAAATAAATATTTACAAATTACAATAATAGAATTTAATTTGAAGCAGAAGGATCGTCTTGAAAATTAAAAGTTAATCTATTAAATTTGTCGATCAATTCTTGGCTTGCCAGTAAAATTGTATCGTGTAAGCGTTGATCGGAACGATCACAATCCTTGATGCACACCAAAGCTTCAACAATATCATGTTGCAATGCATGTCTTCGCTCTTCAAGTATTCGGCCGGTTGTATTGAATGCTTGTTCGGCTGTAATAGTAGAGACTGGAATCGAAAAAATATTCATTGCCAGTCGTGTTAGGATCGGCCAAGTTAATGCTCGTAGCCTCCACCACTGAACCAAATCAAACATTTCACTATTGTCTACAACTAATCCCTCACTCAGGTACGCCATTAACTCGTTGAAGCTGCCGCTATTGCCGCCACCTCTTGATGAAGATCCACTCCCATATTCTTCTTGACCTTGAGTCGTCGTTGTCGTCTTCTTCCTCTTCTTAGACAACCCAAAAACATTCAAGAATGAATGCGGATTGTCGTCTCGTTGTTGCGGTTATTCTACACGATGTGTGTTTTTAAAAAGTCACCTAAGTTATCTAATCCACTTTCTGAACTATCTAATTTTAATCTAATGTCGAAAATAACACTGAAACCATACAACATTGGTAATTTAGACCAATCTTTTTTAAACTTTTTTTCCATAGAAGCGATAGGAACTCCTAAAACATCGTGTGTCCTAAATTCATTAAATAAAATATACATTCTTAAAAATTCTCCTAACGCTAATGGTGACGTTGGGTAATAAGTTCCACTAAGCTTTAAAGTAACTTCGTTAAATCTACCTAAAAAGTTAAACAAGAGTTCGGTAATTTACCAATCAGTTTCATCTATAAATCCTGGTCCTAATTTTACACTAACATAATTTGTTATTGCATCTTTATAGGGGATGCATTGTTCAAGCATTATATAAGTGGAGTTCCATCTTATGGGCATATCTAAGGCTAATACTCTAGGATTTTGATTACATGCTTGTAGAAATTTAAACCAATCTTGTATTCTTTTATTACTACCTTGAATCCAAACAATGTTATCTCTAATTCTTTTAATATGACCTGACATTGATTTTAAACCGGATTTCACTATTAAATTAATTATATGACATGCACAACATTGGTGAAATATATCATTATTACCGAATAAACTTAAATCATTTTCAAAAAGTTCTATTGCTTTAGTATTTGCATTATCTAATGTTATGGCCATTATTCTATCCCTTAAACTATATTCATCAATGACAGATAAAATTGTATTATATATTAAATTGGCAGTATGTGATCCTATAACACATTTAAAACTTAATATTCTCTTATCTAAATCAAAACCTTTATAATAATGTCTAGTTACAGCTAAATAATCTTTGTTGGCAATGGTGGACTAAATATCCACCATTAACGCAACGCAACCACTAGTAGAGTGTAAAAGGTTGATTAATGCTTTCTTTTCTTGTTTATATAATTTTAATACATCTTTCCTAAGAGTAGTTCTTGAAAAAAATTGTGCATTAGGATTATGTACAATTTTAATATAATGTTGCCAATTCTTTTGTTCAGTAAAACTAATTGGTTGATCTAATGTGGTTACTAAGCGTGCCATTTCTATACAATTGACTTGCGGATCGTATTTCCAAGTGGTTAGACCGCCGGTTTGACAATCAAACGATAATTGTGTTTGGCAGAGATCGGGTCCGCCTCCTTGCTTTTGAAGACACTTTTTAGAGTGTCTTCTCAAGTGTGTAGTGTCGTCATTAGTGTTACCTTGTAATTTATCACCACAATATTTGCATTAAGCTATGTATTTAATGTTACCGTTATTGTTGACCTCCTCGAATGTGTTGAAGTGCTCCTAAACTGCTGAGGTATGCTTGCATTTCTTCTTAGAACTTGCAACACTTGCACTAGCACTTCCGCTTGCCTTTCCTCCACGCCCACCACCATTACGTCCATGACCTCTAGTACGTCCACCAGGCTCGGATTTACAGTTTCCTCAGCAACTCTTTCTGTAGTTTGCGATTCCTGCGTTTGAAAAATATAAGGAAATTGCCCTTCTTCGATGTTGAATTTGGCATCAATGGGAATATCATCACCATAACTAGAAGAAGCCATTATGAAAAATAAGAGAGATTGAGAGTGCTTTGAGAGAGATTAAGAGAGATCGCGAGAGATTTAAGCGAGATTAAGAGAGATTTGAGAGAGATTTGAGAGAGATTGAGAGAAATTAAGAGATGATGAGAGTTTTTGGGTGAGGAAAATGGTTGGGGGAGGGGGGTATTTATAAGAAATTTTTTGGCTTGGAAAAAAAAAAAATTTCTCCCAAAAATTTAGTTCCAACAGCTATGGGATTTTCGGGCGGTCGGGTCGGGGTTCGGGCAAATTCGGGCAACGGTAATAAAAATAGCCGTTGGGGTTCACAATTCGGGCGGCGGTCGGGTCGGGCAAAAAAGAACCATTGGGCTCAAAATTCGGGTAAAAATCGGGCTAACGGTAAAAAAATTTGGGCAAAGTTCAGGCAAATTTGGGTTACGCGGAAAAATTTAAAAAAAAAATCCAACGGGCGGCGAACTCGACTTCTCTACTGGCGGCGGGCAGCCGGAATAGATTTTCCTCGGGCTGCCCAAGCCCGTGCCCGGCCAAAGTAGTCAGACGGGCGGCGAATGGCGCCTACCCGCTGTGCCCGAAAATTTTCAGGCATCGGGCATATCTGCCGCCCGAACTTTCAATACTGCTCCCATGAGAATAAAACAACGATAACCCATTGTCCTCACTCCTCAATTTTCGAGACTTTTTTGTCGACACAAATCCAGTTGCTTGCCTCTTTTTGTTTCATGAACCAATTAGCGCATTTCATATTTTTAGTGATTAATTACATAAATATCTCCTTGAA